CCCGGCAGGAGGGACTTCTGCGCCCCTAAGCAGGCGCTCCTGGCGTATTTTTCGAGGAAGTTACCCTGACAGGACCCTATCAAGCTGCAACATACCGACTCGCAAGCTCGCCCGCCCGCCCACAAAAGTCCGACCGATGCTGATGCTCGTATCTTTGCTAACTATAAGCAAAGCTATGGATAGTAAGCTACTGCAGTGCTGCATGGATATATGAGTACATACATGCTGCCGTGTCTATCATAGCGGTTACTGGCACGATGCCAACGGGAAACTCGTCCGAAATGCTTTCCGAGTCGTGTAGAACGGGTTTTCTGCAGGTTTTTGACCGTTTCACTTCGCTTTTTCGCCATTTTTCCCTTTAAGTAGCACCCCTGCTACCCCTCCCAGCCTTTCCGACCATATACCAAATTATGGTGCCTTATGCCTTTAACCAAAGAGATGGTAATGATCCCAAAAGAAGCCATGAATGAGCTAGCTGGCCTATTTCAAAGAGTAATTATGGGACGAGATCATTGCAAGACTGGCATTGAAGGACACATCGATTGTCGTTGGATCGCCTTGAACGTCCCGAAAAAAACGGCTAAAAAACGTCCTCCATTACCAGTGGTACAATTCGCGCAGAGCTACCAACTAGCCTTACTTTTTACAGCTCTCAAGAGTACGGAAGAAACCAGCGAACCAATTTGGCAAAAAAAACCTCTTTGCCGAGTGCCGTCTCGACCACAAGTGAAGGAGCAGGTGGTGCTGGAGCTCGCTTAGTAGGTGCTATGGAGTCTGCATCATCTATTTCTGCCACGATAATCGGCTTCGACTTGTCTACTGTCTTTGTCGGTCGCAGCTTGAATCCCTGCTTGATCTCCTGTAAATGAGATATTTTATGTGAATAAGGAGTGAACTAAAGGTAGCGAAAGGCTCACATCAAGTATCGGGTTATTCGCAAACATCGTGAGCCGTCTAGTGACCCTTTGCGAATGTGTAGAGGATCCAACTTCCACTGAAACCAATAAAACGTATGAAAAATGGATTGAGGAGCGAGTCGCCATTACGAGTAATTGCGGTAGAGTGAAAGACTGTTATGTGGAGATTTCTAGAGAACAGAGACTGGAGACAGGGCACGCCATCGTTGTGATGATCACAACGGGGGGGGGTCGTATTTGACCGCGAGGGAGGGGGGTCGTATTTGGTCGTTGTTGGGAGAGGGACTGCCAAAGATCTATACAAGCTACTATTTCCGATAGTTGAAAATGATAGTTAAAACCTGACGAAATCCTCCCTCCTCCCCCTCCGCTCGACGGAAAATTCTTGGCTGAAAAACTGGAAATTTTCTGGGAAAAATGGAAAAACTGGCAGGAAGTTGGGAAAATCTAGGAAAGTGGTAGGTAGCATGGGGGTTGCATTCGAGGATGGAACTAGGGGTGTCGTATTTTTCAGGAAATGATCACGATGCGATGGCGTGCCCTGACTGGAGAACGATGCTTAGCTTTCATAATTTCAGTAGTCTGCTCCTATGAACCGACTGCTCACGTTCTCAGGCATAACCTTTGTGTCCCCCCTAGACGCACAAGCAAGTTTTGCTTCATCACAATGTTCGAAAATAATAGGAGGTAAATGGTTTAATGGCGAGAGATCGTTTTGATCCATGGTGAGTAGCTGGGCATGGCTGCCGCCAGTCAACAGCTGTGCCATAGCTCTTCAGGATTAAACGCAACACAAGTGAGTATGCGAAGAGATTGCGGATGCAGAAAACAACTCGTTATCAACAGTCACAATTTTACACAAAATAATAATTCTGGGCATTAGTTCGGAACAGTTATGGGGCCAGTTTATGGCTGACACTTGTTTAACAAATATTCCAAAAGGCCGGAAGGCCCTCTTCGTTCCAGCTTCTGCACCATGCGAAATGAAAATCATCAGTAGACTTCCATTTCCATTAATTATTTATGTATCATTTGCTCATGCAAGCTTGCGCGGTCTTTCTTCCCTTCCCCCCCTCGCAGAAGAATACTATCAGTCAATACCTTTAGTTCAAAAAAACCTTTCAACTCATGGCCCTCGTTATTCCTTTCCAGCCAATCTCGCGAACCAGTAAGGTCGCTCGTAGTTCCCGCTGAATCACATGTCAACTTTGATAGGCTAGCACTGTGCTACCACGGGGCAAAAATGACTGATTTTAGACCTACAGAAAAGGCTGTGACATTTCCGCCAAACTGGGAAATACAGAGCTAAATGACAGAGGATGAAAGGACATTCTTTTCTTCGCCACGGTTGACTCAGTCCCTTCTATAATTGTAATGGCTTATTTATCCTCCCGACAGATCTGATACTGATTTATCGTTCGCGAAGGCTGAATAGCCTAGGCCGGAGCCGATCCGGGATTTCAGCCCCAGACCGGCGCGTGACACAAGCGTGCCACTTGCCACAGCACAACTTCCGCTCAGAGGTAAATGTGGACTCTCCCAAAACAATTACAACAAGTAAAATCGGAAACAAAAGTAGAATAATAAAAATGATTGCACTCAGTGGTCTGTTGAGGCCTCTGGAAGAATGATGGAGAGGGTGCAATGCTATGAGCAGAATCGTTTGCCCCTAGCGCCTCTAAGTTGAGTCGTGGAGGAATCGCTGATTTTTCTGTTTCCTGAAGCAGATATAAGACCGATTGCGGAAGCTCTTGCTCCCGTAACGGGGCGGAGGATTCTTATGGGAAAGCATCATTACTGTCGGAAATGCCGAGCCACCTTCCTGTTCTCCCGCTTCATTCCCTTTTCATTTCGCTATCGAAACCAAATCTCTATGCGAGTCGAAAATAAAAGAAAGAAGGCGGTCACCGAATTCCTAGTGGAATTGCGCCGCGCGCTCGTCTTCCATTCAGATTCGTAAAGACACTTGAAGGTATGGTGTACAACCAGGATCTGAGGGTTCCGGTCCCGCCGTGTGAGGTAAGGGGTGTGAACGGGTCCGCAGCTGTAGAAAGGTGCCTCTAGCGTCACTCGAAAGTGCGGTCGAAGGGTAGTGAGTGGTCTGGATGCCATCTGGGGCTACACCCACAAACAAAGCACGCAGTACGTGACACGGCACTGTCACTTATATGCCTAAGGCAGCGTTCAGACTTCGCGACGGCAGCGCTTCGGTCGCGCGTTCGACGCGATCGATGCAGTTGAAAGCATGCGCATCGATCGCGTCGAACGCACGACCGAAGCGCTGCCGTTGCGAAGTCTGAACGCTGCCTAACACACATTAGGTGGAGTCCTTGGCAGCTCCATCTTTCTCTATGCTTCAAGCTCATTTTCGCACTCTTAAGAATGACGAAAGTGCTACTGCAGCTGCGGAGCTGTCTACCTCGACCATGGCACAGGTCCCGAGAAGCGTAAAGCTTGTCTTCGGATGAGAAGAAGGCCTGTGCCAAGGTTTTCAAGCCCGTAACTGGTTTTGGTCCTTAGCTTGCGAAATCTACGAGCTAATGAAGGTTCCTCCCTTTGAGGAGCTATTTTCTACTACAAAACTAGTAGTTCACGCAGTTAATGAATGTCGCCCGGGGAAGCAATTCGAGTTAAACCGTACCCAAATAATTGAAAAAAAAAACAAAACAAAACGATTAAAAAATCAAGTAGAACGAGAACGGATGATAGCAGGATGAGCAACCCAACTTAAGCGTCGTTGAAGTGCAAATGATACGATAGAGGAGAAGGTGTGATTAGGACTCTTCCCACGAGAACGTTTCAGGCTCATTTTTTCACAGGTTCCACGAAGATATCGCACCTGCAGTCACCTGTGAAAAAAGTAAGCGGTAAGTAGGGTTGTGTGACAAGATAATCTTAAGGCAGCATTTCCGTAGCGAAGTCTGAACGCTGCCTAATATGGCGCGTTGGTAGGCGTGGCGAGCGACTCCGCCGACGGACGAGTTGTGCTGCTTGGTCAGTCGAACAAGTGTGTCGAAGGGATGGGAAAATTCAACTACAGCTCGACATGGAATCTTGTCTTTGCCTGAATTCATAAGAATTCGTTGCTCCAATCAACAGGTGATGCAAATCGAGAACTTGCCGCGCATGCGCACGATGGACCGCGCGCCGACGCGACAAATTACGATTGTCTTGTCCGCCTCCGGTAAGATAGTGAGGTGGTGGCGAAGGAGAGGGAGGCGAGATGACCTAGGGTTCCAACGGTCTTGAGCCAAGTTGATGCCCTTTCAAGGCTTCCATCAAGCAAATCAATAAGGTAATACAGCTCAGAATCGTAGACGCGTTGACAGCGCAATTCAAGAGGACCTCTTAGAATGGCCTAGACAGAGGCGCCATCAGAGACAATTCGAGAAAGAAGAAGAAAAAAACCAAGGACGCTTCTCAGCGAAAGGATAATTGCATAACTCGGCTTGACCTCACATAACCATCACATCTACGACTTTGGCTTGCCACTCGAAGAAGTTGAGGAAATAGAAAGAAGAAGTCTAGGGAAGAGGACGAGGCAGAGGACAGCCACCTAGCGGCGCTCGACAGCCGTCTATTCATCCAGTAGACGTTGCGCCTAAGACTGGAATGCATCCCCGACTGTCTACGAGCGCCAATTTTTTCATAGTTGAATCTCAGTCATAAATGTTCTACTGAAAGGACGTTTCATCACATTGAATGGATTACCGCCGAGATTGGCGGTGGCCAGTTTTTTAGCAAAAAAACTAGTTCACCTTCCCTACACGGATATTCTACGGGACAGCCAATTGCCCGAAACGTTGACTACGAAACTAATGACCTCTTATGAGCAAACGAAGACTGTGTGACGAGACATACGGGACACGACTATATCGCTCGAATGATTCATAACCACTACGGGTGACAGTGGGCGAATAAAATATGCACGTGAGAGGATGAAGAACAGGAGAAATTTGTGAACGGACATGCGATTGTAACCAATGAGCCGCTGAAACACGTAGTAGGAAGATTCATAGGGGCATGCGGAATCTTCAAAGGAGGGCTCTTTCTATTAGGGCATTTCTTCTCACCTCCACTAAAGCGCTCTTGACCTTCACATGATGTCGTGGGCGTGCCATCTTCTTCTGAAGAGATTCCATAATAAGTGGAGTCGCTAGGGCAGGAAAATCGGCTCAAAAGGCGGGCTTCCTAGAGAGAAAGACAAGTTTGAGGAGGAAGTGTTGTGACAAATAGAGCGTGTGGCATCTAGACTCCAATTCCTGCTGATGAAGGCAAGCCTACGTACTTCAGTTGGAGGTGGTGGCGGATGCGTTTTGTGTTTTGGGACAGTCAATCTTGTCTCTGTCCAGCAGAAGACAGGATTACAACAGTGCTTTCAAGTAAAACTACGGAAATGACGAAATGAGGTGAAACCGACGGGTGAGAGAGCACAACGGCATTGTCACGACGACAAGGGCAATGTAAGTCGGCATGGGCCTCCTTGAGCCTGAAACCTAAGTTTCCTGCGCTATCCTTGCCAACCTTCAAACTTTGAATGTAGTGCAAAATCTGTAATCGCACCGGATTACCTTGCACATTTAAAGGGTCTTAGACTCAATTTGTAGCGTACCGTGCTTTCAAGGAATATTCAGTGAAGAGAACCCTCTCTATCTCCAGAATATTGAGCGTAGAAGGGGCAGTGACAAGTGGCGCCATTATGGCAGGTCGATGGGGTTATTTGAGGGCGAATTCCGCTGGAGCCGACTGGACGTTCCGGACCACCGGTATTGTTTGATTGCTTGAATTCCACTGAGTAGGATGAAAACACCACCTCATGTATCCACCAGCGCCTGTAGATGAAGGATAAGGAGAGTTCTACAATACAACCCTCCAACCCTAAAAATCCTCTAAAAGAGAGGTACATCCGATCAACTATCAACTATCCGATTATACGACACCCTTGCTCTTCTGAGGTGTCACGATTTCGCTCCTTCTTGAGGATTTCCACGATGATAAACCTTGTTGAAGCATTTAGGCAGCAGAGTGGAACTAACAGATTTTGAACTGCTATTACGACATCAACAGAAGGCGATATGGGAATCAATTCAATGGCGATTTCCGTATCGCTGTGGGAATATATGATA